GGTAGTGGGTTGACAAACAAATGGCAGATCAGGAAGTTGAGAGCAGAGCGCACTGTTCAAGTGTGTAGCTCTTCTCTTCTGCACCGACAGTGAGCCTTTGTTTTATTTTATACTAGAGGGTTTTACAGCGCTCGCAAGTGCATAAGGTCATATGAGCCCGCGGGACACACCTAATACTTTTAGTTGGAAGGAAATTTTGAATTTTGCCCGGGTGGCGGCCGAAGCCTACTCTTATCGATTTTAGACCACCAGGGGATCTTTAACGTGCACAACTTGCACACGGGTCCTCCGAGATTTTTCGCCCTAATCCGAGAAGGCTAAGTGTAGATCTTTCCTACCAGAAGATCAGGGGTGTGGCAGAAAGACAGCTGTAAGAAGGAGTCAAGGAGTACAGAGGAGGGGGCAAAGGAGGTGAGGGGGTGGGGGTAGAAAGAGGAGACCAAAGCAGACGACAGAATATTGCCTGAGAGCAGAGCAGGAGGTGAAAGGAGACAATTTCGGTCGCTACCCGGATTCGAACCCGGGACCTTTGAATGAGAGGCCAACACCTTAACCTCTAGGCCACGAGAGCCCCCTGCCTTTGTTTGCACCACACCGTTAAGATAATAATAATAATATGAAGTATAATTTGTTGATTCCCCCTGCTGCTGCTCTCGGCGGAGATGACGCTGCCGCTGCTGTTTAGTTTTAGTAGAGGTTTTACAGCGCTTGCAACTGCATAAGGTCATATGAGCGCCAAGGGTTGGATGTTAACAGGGAAGTCCTTACAGGGAATCAGGTTTACTGTGCTTACCTCTCTAGCCTCAACGGCACAAAGTCTGCTTCGACTATCAAGGCACCCCGGAAATAACGGGTCACAAGAGTGTGGCAAACGTACAAAAGAAGTAGAGGTAAATGAAGATAGTGAGGATTAGGTTGCAGTTCAGGCACAGCTTCGGGCATCATATTGTTGAATAAGCCCATTTACAATTCCACTGTGCATGAGAACATGCTGTTGGTGTTGATGATAATGATGATTATGATGATCATGATGATGATAAAGATGATGCTGATTTTGTTGATGGTGATGATGATTATGAAGTTTATGATGAATAAGAGGGACAGTTTTAGCCCCATAATTTCATAGGTAAAGTTTTTACTTCTTCGTTAATTGCAACTTTAGGGAGAGCGGATTTTTTAAATTGGGGATGGGGGAGGGGGTTGGACCTGAAAGTA